TCCTGCAAAAGAGAAAAGGCCCTTCTCCTTGTCATCCCCAAAGGGGCACGGCTCTTTAATGCCTCCTCTCCAAAGGTTGACCCCACAGGGATCGAGCACTGCAAGCAGGCCGCTGGCTGTTTCAGGCCTGGGCTGTATCCTTCCCTCGCCCTTTGAGAGCCCTGTACAACAGGTGGTGGAAGGTCCAGTGTGGGACCTCTCCTTACCCAGATCTCAGACACGATGGAGGCTGGCGGTGGTGGTGGAGCTGCAAGAAGGCAGGTAAAGATGCTGTTGTGGCTACTGTTATTGAACAGGAAGGAGCGACATGGGCTAGTCTGGATATTATGAGCATGCATCCAAATGGAGTTGAGCCATAGGTCAATAGCAGAGCACATGATTTGTCAGAGCACATGCTTTATATGTAAAACTTTTGTCTAAAATCTTGGAAAGCTATTTGCCAAAGGGAGTATTGTGCTAGATAGTCCAGTGGTCCAACTGTCAGTAGCTGAGTGGATTCATCATGCTAAGACACGGCTTGCTTTAACCATGACTTGTTAACTAAGCCACCGTTGTTTGAGACCACTTATTGTACAGTGCCATAAATCATAGAGTCCAAGCCACTTTATGGCTTATTGCAATGGAGATTCATGTAAACTCATAAATGGTGTTAGTGAAGTTGCAGAGAGTGCATAGCTGAGTCCAAAAATCCTCTGTGGACATAGATGAGGGTGCCATCTAATGAAGTTGAGTAAGGAAATTTTAGAATACAACCCAGGAGTAATATATATTTTTTTACAGAATGCATAGATGTGGCAATAAAGACCACTTAAGTAACCTTTTCCCACTACATTTCCTGATAAGCTGTTTATGGCAGCTACTGAACTAGTTAAGAATGCTTAACTAAAGTGTTTTTGGTCTCAACCAGTAGTTCTTATCTTCATATACTCTTTGGGTGTTTAACCCTGGGGATTAAAATGACTTTAAAAATACAATGCGTATAAATGGGTTATCTCCTGGGCAGTAAAATTTTGGGCAGACAGACCGAACGGTCATTTCTTTCTTTTTCTCCTGCCCTAGCTTTCAAACCACATTCCTGCTCTGCAGTTTACTGGAAGAGGTTAAAATTTTGTATGGAAGTCTACAGGTGGTAGGCAGGTACGGTGGCTCTAAATAGTAACTGAGTGGTTGAGTATGCACGACATGCTAAATTAAGCAAAATGTGGCTTTCTGTGTTGTGTGAATCCAGCCAGTAGGACTTGCTTCTGAGTGGAAGGCATGCAATCAGTGCTGATGAATGAATTGTTCAGCTCACTTTCAAGAAGGAGGAAGTATAACTGAATTAAATGAGACTTCAGAGTTAACATGCTTGGAACTATGCTCTAATTATGAGCCACCCATGTGAAAGTAAGAAGTGGAGCATATTGGGGTATGATTACATGCCTATTGGCCTAATATCAAGCTGCATCAAAGAGTTTTAGAACAGCTTTGTAACATGGCCATCACCTTCTCCAACTTGATATCCTCCAGTCAGCTGTGAGCTGGAAGTTGAATGCCAAATTGGTACACAATGTGAGAAGGCTGCAATGTAGGAATTAATCGATTGCACAATCCATTGACGGGGATTACCTTTAATAGGAGAACTATCCACACAAAAGAATCTGCAAGCTTTAGAGTTTCCAAGAATCCTTCAACAGGGAGGAGGCCATCTACCACTAACAAATTCATTCAGTCTAGGTTCATCTTGAGATTCACTTTAAGCGGCAACCTCATGGTGGAGAAACCTAGACGTTTGGGTTGGCTGGTTTTCCTGCTTCTTCCCCTTCTCCTGCTTTTTGTAACACATTGCCTGGAGAAGAGTTCAAGAGCATCTGAAAGCTTGCACAGCAGGCTGTTACCAAACTATAGATTCTAATTCTTTCTTCATAGATCCAAGTTGCTTTTCCAGACCAACATGGTATAATTAGGAACCTCCTTTCTACCTATCTACAAATGGAATTAAACAGGTCTTGTGCTACGTTTGATGCTGCAGCTAATCAAACATGGCAGGCCATTTTTTTCTAATAAGAAGGTCTTGTATGTGGAAGTCGGGAGGTTGCTACAAGTTAAAGTACCTTTCTTTGATGTCAGGATTAGAAGGAAGAATCCAGATGGTGGATAATCACAGGCCTCCTTCCTTGAGGGCTATTTTCCCTAGCCGTGAGGGGAAAAAAATCTAGAAGCAAACTTGACTTAAAAAAAGATGCAAGGAAGGTTAGAAACTTGCAGGTAATTCTATTTAAAGGCAAGGCAGAGGGTCCAGGGTGAGGGCACTGAGTCACAAGTAACTAACGCAATGAATAGGTGGCTGAGGAAGCAAGAGACATAATTCTGTAGAACAGAACATGCTGGTTGGGGAATTCTGGGAGTTGAAGTCCACACATCTTCAAGTTGCCAAGTTTGAGAAACACTGCTGTAGAGCAATCACTTATCTGAGGAGGAGCTAGTCCCCCACAGGAGGCCCACCATCTGGACGGTGGGATTGAATCTTTCGGTCAGGGAACACAATTATTTTCTCTGTCTGAATGTGCTCATCTCTGTTAGCCAGAGGATTAAGCTGGGGGATGGGCAGGGTTAAGATGGCAGGTTTGCTAGAGACAGTTTGGATTTCTAATCCCCCTTTATCTTCACATGGCCAGGTGTGAGATGCTCTGACTTCCTGCCCTTCAAAGGAAAAGCAGACGCCCTATGTTCATCAAGCAGATCTTTTTTGCAGGTACAATAACCCCCAACTTCTGCACCCTCACCCCTTTCCTTCAATTCACCAGGCAATGCTATATATACTCTGTGTACAGATTGAATTATGGGATCTCAGCCCTACAGACTTCCATTTATTTGCTAGGAACAAGTATGTAGACTTCAGACTTGCAGGATGTACTTTGTCTTTGATTAGACCAAGTAAACACCCAGGGCAAGATAGAGGGTGAGGTAGGGAAGTATCGCTTATGCGCCTCTGCATGCTCTGTCCAGGAATTGTGGTTGACACTGGAACCAGATTAATATGTATTTCAGAAAAAAATCAGTCTTGGTTCACCCCCAAGCATTATTTTTATGCAACATAGTTAAGGATCAGAAATCCATATGACCAGAAATTGAATACTAGATTCCAGTCTACTTTCTGCTCAGCCCTGATTAGGAGTTGTTCCACCCTATATCTGGTTAGCAGCTAGTCTGTCGGCAATTCTCTTATTTGGCAATAAGCCCTATAGATCCCAGTGGGATTTGCAGCTGTGGGTGGTTTTGGACTCTCTCTCAGCCCAACCTACCTCAAAGAATTGTGGCTGGAAAAATGGGTCTTGTACAGTATTTAATATACGCATTGTTTGTGTGCTTTCGAGTCAGTGTTGATCCCATTGACTGCCTGGACAAGTTCCTGCGGTTTTCTTGGCAAGATTTTCAGAAGTGGTTTGCCCTGGCCTCCTCCTTCCTAGGGCTGAGAGAGAGGGACTGGCCCCAGGTCACCCAGCTGGCTTTGCACCTAATGCAGGACTAGAACTCATGGTCTCCCAGTTTCTAGACTGGTGCCTTAACCACTACACTAAACTGGCTCTATAGAAGCAATTTACTATACAATACAATATTTACTAATCCTTACTAATACTGTGCCTCAGGTCCAGCTAACTGAGGCAGACAGGCAGGTAGACAAGTGTCTTTGCAAAGACAAAAACTCTCTGAATCTTCTGCAATCTCAACATGCGCTAAAGGGTTTGAAATTCAATTATCCCTTAACTGCTGTTGACTTTGTGGGGTGAGGCACCCCCTTATGCCATATCAGGCTGCCATTCCAACTAGCTCAGAACTGCCGTGCTGGCTTTAAAATGGGATCTTTCCTTGAGTGACTGGATCTGGACTGCAAACATCCCAGGGGTAGCAAAGAGATTTTTTTTCTTGCCACATCTGGGCTTTGGGGCTGAACTCAAGACCGCCAGGGAAGGGCTTCTGCATCGTCATGGCCATCTCCTCAAAGGGCCCCAGGCAGTGATGGTGCTTTTTTTCCTCCTCTGGGCTTGGCAAAGGTCATCAGCTCTGTTGTTGCAGGACAGTAGGAACTATATATATATATATATTTATTACCCTTATCACTTTCCTTCCCATTTTTAATCTAGCAAGAATTGTGTACAGGAAATTAATCAGCAGTGCTAATTGCCCTCTGATACTCATTGTCAGGATTCACCCATGGAGCTGTTACAATGACTCCATTTCCCTGCATTTTCACAAGACACTCAACTCCAAACAAGCCCCATTTTTGTCATGGAAAGCTTTGTAGCAAAGCAGACATTGGAAGCTGTCTCCATTCTGCTCAAACCCTGGTTCCTGCCTGTTCATAGAGAACAAGTGAATGAATGAAAGGGGGACAGATCAGGCAGATAAATGGACTTTTTCTGCAAAAACAGCCCAAGCTGTTCCTTGAAGCAACCGTGATTTTGGGAGCAGTCCTACAAAAGCATTGGGTGAGGTCTGGTCCCTTTAAAGCAGCAATGGGTGTAGAAGCCAGCAGGTGAAAACATTAATGGTAAAGGATGCTCAGCTGCTGAGGATCAACTGCAGGGAATTAGTTCAAGATGGAAATGCTTTATCCCAAATGCGATGCTGCGGAGTCACAAGGCCACCCTTGTACTTGAATTCATCTCTATAATGGTGGGGAGGGGTGTGTGTGTCATCTTGTTGCTTGTCTGCATTGAAACAGGGATGGGTCTGTTGGAAAGAGTGGGCAGCGCTTGGCAAAGCAGGATGATAGGGTCTGTTGAACAGATATAACGAGACAATACTCTAACCTCAGAGTAAGTTCAGTGGAAGTTTATTTTAAGGATGGGGCTTTGTGTGTAGTGCAACTGTAAGGGTGTTGGGGTTAATCGAGTGGCAGAAGAGTGGGCTGTGTGTAAATGCTTTCCCTTCCCTTCATAATAATAAAAACATTGGCAGTGTTCAGGCAGCATGCTCATCTGTGCATTTCTGAATTTGCAGGACACGCTAAATGCTAAACTAACCAAATGGGTGGAGTAAACAGAACATCTGAAGCTAAAAGATGGTTGGCCTGTTTGTGGGTTTGGGGGCTGTGTGAATGCAGAACTTTTTCTGACTCCCTTAGAATGGGAATCAAGAGTTCCACCAGTGCTGCCAAAGATGAACAGAGCGAAGGGCTGCAGTTCAGCCCATCTGGAGGGCTCCGTGGTCTCAATCTCTGCCCTTCGCTTCCCAATTTACACCTTCGGCTGGGTATGATGGGGATTATAGTCAGCACA